ACGTGATCAGTGGTGTCCAATGACACGCTGATCACAGGGAAATGCAATTGCTGGTTCTCGGCTGCACTTTCCTCACGCTGTCAGAACGTGGGGAAAGTACTGCAGAGAACCGGCAGTTGTCAGAGCAGGGATCGGCACCGATCATCAGGGCACTGATGATCAGTACCCAGATGATCAGTGCCCAGCGGTGCCACCCACCTGTGCCCATTAGTGCCACACCTGTCACCCAACTCTGCCCATCAGTGCCACCCACCAGTGCCCATCAGTGCAGCCCAGCAGTTGTGCCAGTCAGTGCCCAGCAGTTGTGCCAGTCAGTGCCGACTATTGGTGCCCATCATCAGTGCCGCCTATCAGTGCAGCCTCATCAATGCACATCAGTAAAGGAGAAAAATGACCTGTTTGCAAAATTTAATAATAGAAACAAAGAAACCTTTTTTTATTTTTTGCTCTTTTTTTTGTTTATAGCGCAAAAGATAAAACCTCCAGCGGAAAGTAAATACCACCCAAAAGAGAGCTCTATTTGCGAGGAAAAAAAATGATAAAAATTTCATATGGGTACAATATTGCATGACCATACAATTGTCATTGAAAGTGCGACAACACTGAAAGCTGAAAATTGGCCTGGTATGGAAGGGGGTATAAGTGCCCGGTAGGCAAGTGGTTAACTTTTAAAGCAACTTTATTTAAGAAAAACCACAAGAATAAAACGTATGTATAACAAAAAAGAGAGAAGGGGGAAAGAATATAACAACACATCTCCCCCCAACATAGGGCATAATACAAAATCCTAAGTCACATGATACATTGGATGCAACTAGTACATATTATTCCTTATCTCAGATCCCTCGTTAGTCACAGGGTCATGAGTACAAAGGCATGTCATGCAGCTCAAATGGAAAACTCAAATGATAGGTCAAGGAACAGGGGTAGTTCAACAGGCGATTCACCCTCTTTATCTGTACTGTTTATTATGATCGGTGAAAGTAAAAGAAAATCCCAAATGTCTGGCTGCCCCCAGAAAAGGAATAGAGCAGGAATAGAACTTTTCTGATACCTCCTGCATAAGACCCAAAAAGGATGTTAATTTGCAGGGATTTCCTCTAACTTCCTGTTGGGCTTTGGGACAGGAAGTGAAGGGAAATCTCCACAATGAGGCACAGATGGCAAAAAAAAATTGACAGGGGTGATAACCATCCTTTGCTTTATCCAGAATGGAAAAAAAAAAGTTCTGGCTATAGTTCTACTTTAATCACAGAATTGACTTGAGACAAGAACTTCTTTTGACTGTTAAAACTTCTCCCATGTATATATTTAGTTGTTTTTCATGGTGTTAGTGACTGCTGCTTTCCCCAATAAATTCAGAGAATGGATGCAATATATGACTGAATGCTTCTCTTTCGTGTGAGCAGCAATCCAGAATTGCACTCTTCTATGTGATCCAGCCTGTGGCAGAGTCTTCAGCATTCCCAGCTTCTGTGGGTGTTAGATGCCTGTATCTCCCACCACATACCTTGGTTTCTATATCTATCTATATCTCATATTACCCCGGTACAAATCATTAGTAAGACCTCATCTGGAATATGCAGTTCAGTTTTGGGCACCAATTCACAAAAAACATTGGGGAACTGGAGAAAGTACAGAGAAGGGCAACCAAACTGATAAGAGGCATGGAGGAGCTCAGCTATGAGGAAAGATTAAAGGAACTGAATTCTCTCTTGAGAAGAGGAGATTAAGGGGGATATGATCAACATGTATAAATACATCAGTGGTTCATATAGTGAATTCGGTGTAGAGCTATTCACCCTGAGGTCATCACAGAGGAAAAGGGGGCGCTCTTTACGTCTGGAGGAAAAGAAATGTAATCTCCAAACACGGAAAGGTTTCTTCACAGTAAGAGCTGTGAAAATGTGGAATAGACTCCCTCAAGAGTTGGTTCTGGCCAGCTCAGTGGATTGCTTCAAAAAAGGCCTGGATTCTTTCTTAGATACACAGAATATGACTGGATACTAACATTTATAGGTAGAGTTGATCCAGGGAATATCTGATTGCCTCTCGGGGGATCAGGAAGGAATTTTTATCCCAGCAGCAGCAAATTGGATCATGCTTTACTGTTTTTTTTTTTTTGGCCTTCCTCTGGATCAACTGTGGGTGTAGGATTAAAAAAAGTGTTTTTTTTTTTTTTGTTTTTTTTTCTTCTATGGTTGAACTGGATGGACCTTTTTTCAGCCAGACTAGCTATGTAACTATGAGTAAAAAGGAAAGGCTGCATCACACACAACAGACTGTGAAGCCCCCAAATTGCTGGGACTTTTCTTTGGAGTAGCAGCTCCTAGATTGTTTTAAAACTGTGCCAGTCCGCTGCTGTCTTTAATGTAGACTTGATCTGGGTGGATTTCTTGCAGCTCTTCGGAATCTGGTACAGGGCAAATTGTTCAGGATGGCCAGCAGGGACATTGACACCCCTGGAGTAGATCTTTACTAAACTGTTGGCCCTCCAGCTGTTGCAAAACTACAAGTCCCATTATGCCTCTGCCTTTAGGAGTCATGCCTGTAACTGTCAATCTTGCAATGCCGCATGGGACTTGTAGTCTGGCAGGAGCTGGAGGGCCGCCAGTTTGACACCCGTGATCTACTCGATTAATGAGTAATACACTGTCTCATGCTGCTCTGTACATGATCAGTTGCTCTGCTGACAGCCGAATGATTTCCTTCTGCTCAGGGGCTCTGGGCTTCAACAAAGGCAGCCTCCACCAAAAAGAAACGGGAGCAAACCTGGAGGTAATTTACAGGGCACACTAATTTACTAATTTTTGGTACCATAATTTATTAATGTGGAATGTATGTTTTGTTTTTTTTTTTTTTGCATTATTTTTGACCAAGCTGTTATGGGTAAATTCCACTTTAAAGGGTTACCATGAAGCAGTGGGAAGGTGTTCGAATAATGAAGTCCAATGAAATAAATGAAAGAAGCAAAAAAAAAAAAAAAACAAAACAAAAAAAAACATCCCACAAATATATATACGCATGGAGGATGCCTGTTTTGTACATACTGTAAATGGTGATGGGGTAACACATTATTGGATACCACACATACACGGGGATGAGAGGAATAATTATCTATGGTTAATAACAACCTGATAAACTGTGAAAAGTGTTCACCATGGAAAGTCTTGAGTATTATAGGGCTTTTTTTTTTTTTTTTTTTTTTTTGCCATGCAAGCATTTTTAAGGCTTGCCACACTTGGTATCTTTTTACTTGGAGTCTCTCCTTTTTTTAAATTTTACTAAAAGGTAAGTATTTCATTGTGTTTGTGTGCACTGAAATATAATTTTTAGTTTTATTTATTTTTTATTTTTTCCTGAAAATGTAGTGCTTGGAAAATGTTAAATACTATGACATTTTTTATTTACAGGTTCTCTTCTTCTTTCAGAAACTATTAATTATAAAATATTGTGTAGAGTTTAAAGCTACAAACTTTTTTTTTTTCCTTTTCGCAAACAATGTCCTATTGCAGAGATTTCCCTTCACTTCCAGTTCCATAGCCAAACAGGAAGTGAGAGGAAATCCTAGCGCATTAGGGAATTTTATTGGGGCCCACCCCAAGTCACCAGGACTAGTATCCCCATTGTAAAAGTGCCCTTCTATTTTTTTGGGGACAACCCAAAATTTGGGATTTTCTTCTACTTTCACTTTTGAAGATAATGGTAAAAATGGAGGGGGGGGGCACAGACAGCAAAAAAAAAAACCTGACAAGCTTTCTAATCCCTCTCCATTCTATCTTAGGTTTTGCCTTTAGTTATACTTTAAGTAATTTTCAGGCCTAAAAATTTATGTTTAACATGTGCAGAAGATGAAGAAAAATTCTCCTGGAGTGCTAGGGCTAAGCACCCTAAACATCTTTCATAGCCTAAAAGCTATTCCCTGGAAGTGATAGACTGGCACAGACTGATTTTGCAGATGTGTCTCACGTGTTCTAAAAGTGCTGCAACGTGTGCCAAACATATGTACCTGTCTAGTACTTTGCTGCACCACTTTTAGAACGCTTGCAAGATGCTCTTGCAAAATCTGTCTCTGTACTCCAAACAAAAAAAAATTGGTCTCAATTAGCTCCACTTTCGTAAGATACGAACTATTTTAAATTTTATTTTGAATTTGGAGCAGGTGTTGCGCCTCAGTGTAGAAGTGAAGCAAGTTAAAATGACTTGAATTTGGAGCACAAGTCGCTGTCAGAACCAAAACTATCATAGATGTTTTTTAAATACATTAAGGCTAGGTTCACACTAGTGCGGTACATTGCATGTGATTTGCACAGGAATGCGGTGCGGTTTCTGTGTAAAGCACATGCGATTTGTGTGCGGTGCGATTGGAGCCATACATTATGTATGGTTCAAATCACACCACACCCGCACCAAAAAGGTGCAGGACCCTTTTTTGGGTCTGCACTAGAATTGGATCGCATGGGTCTACATTGTACCGTGTTTTTGTTGTTCACATAAATACTCGCATCGATTCGCATGATTGGGGTGCAATTCTGATGCGGTGCAGAAAACGCTGTAAATTCCTCATTGAATCAGTGTGAACCCAGGCTGAAAAGCATAAATAATGCCAGAAAAGTGTCACACCAGCTTTATTGAATTCCCCCCATTGTTAGTGGCATGAAGCCCTTTATTACCCAAAAGTAATGAATCCAGAAGAGCCAGACAACTAGTGTTGAGGAAAGACCGCAATGGCCGCTTCTATACATTTATCACAAAATAAACTGAAGTGTATGAGTGAACATATACTACTAATAGAGAGCTGAATTTATATGCTCAACGTGTGATTGGCTGTCAAATATTGAGTGCTGTATCAAGAGTATATTTTCGTTTTATATACTTTTTTTTTTTTTTTTATTTATATTTTCTTGCAGTTTAGTGGAAGTGCTGAGTGGGGATTCCTATTAATAGATTTGTCATAACTGCTCTACATTTAAGCAGAAATGTGTTCTCTTTTCTGACAGGCTTGTACTGGAGAGAGAGCTCCATGCCCACTACCTACGGAAAGGATTACAACACCTCTCCGACTCCTATGAGGTAATCAATCATTTTATGTTTTAAATTCTACACTCCTCCTGCCCACTCCTTGTCACAGCCCTGCCTCAATCACAGGTAACCGCCTGGCGTGCATCTACTTGTGCGCAGTGGTGGCTGCGATCAGCCTGTCGATACTTTGTTCAGGCAGAGCGACCTCCACTGTTCACATACACGTGTCCTTCCAGGCGCAAGGATCTGCAGATGTTTGGTGTCAGAATCTGATGTATGCGGGTAGCAGATGTGGGAAGGAGGCCTAAATGTATGTTTGTAGAATAAAGGTTATATACATATACAAGAAATAAAATGAAAACATTAGTTTTAGATGCACAATTTAAAGTGGCTCTTCAGTCCTATTTTTGGCAGGTCCCTCCCCCCTCCCTTTGACACTGTCATTTGTGCATGCTAGGATGCGCCCATGAGGTTCTGCTTGGCCTTTGGGTCCTTGCAGAGCGCGTTGCCACATCTGCGCACACACACAGGGGATTTCTTACATGCACAAAAGACAGGGAAGGTTTTGAACACCCCCTATTACCAGTCTTTGCATATGCGCAGGAAACTTTTCAGGAAACAAGCCCTGCAGTACATTTGCACATGCGCTGGGGGGCAGGGAGACCCTTTCGCTTTGCCGAGAAAAGCACAAATAAAGTACTTTTTTTTTTTTTATTTTTTTTTACAGTCCATTGGTTAAAAAGGGGAGAAGTGAGGAGGCAGGGCAAGATGTAGTAAAGGGTGAAGGTCTAAACACACACTGTTTAATTTTCATTATCTCTTTTTCTGTATTTGGATGATCAAAAAAAAATCGAAGTACTTTTTTTTTTTTTTTCTTTTCCATAATCGATATACAGCTGTCATGTGACCTAGCGCTTTCCCAGCCTGCCTGCAGGGAAACCTCAGCGGGAGGAGCTTCTAATCCTCTACTGTCAGTCGCATGTTCAAAAAAAGCAAAAAACAGTCTTTGAAATACAAAGGAAAAACCGTAATTAATAGCGAATGTTTTAAATACATACAAATTATGTATTTGAACTCAATCTCTGTTTCTGTGCAAAAACATGGTATGGGATATCTAGGGGGGAGGTTATGCCAATCATAGCCTGTCTCGCACCCCTCATACCTGTGTCTATGGTGTGTATCAACCTGTGTCTGTATGTGCTTAGAATTACAGGGAGGTGATGCCTCCACCAATCAATATGTAATATCACACCCCCTTAGTGTAGAGCTGTTTAGTGGGCTTGAAGGGGAAGGGAGGAAGTTGCAATTTATCTAGAGTGCATGCACTAACATGTAAGTCTAGTCATATGGGCTGCACAGATGAGAAAGCAGAGGGAATAAACAGATTAGAAGAGAACTGAAACTGGAGCATGCTCAGCAGACGTGACAACGGTTGGTCTGCACAATCTCGGGCTGCAGACAGACAAGAACGGATGGTCAGTGAACAGCAGGATCAACCAGGATTTTTGCAGAATACAGAACACCAATCCCATGGTGACTGAGTGAATATGGACTGCATTTAATACAGTGTATATGGACCATTTTTAATGATGTGGGTTTAATGACCGTTTTGTCAAATGAGTAGTACATATGATTGAAAAATCAACCATTTCACAGTCCCAGGTCATTCACTGACTGTTAGACTGCCAATCTAGCATTTGTAAGCTGGTACATCAAAAACTGTTTATTTTATTTTTTTTCTCCCACAAAGCATCTTTTGGTATACATTTAGAGCTGCATTGGAAATCATTTTCTTTTTTACTTTTCTCCATCCTAGTGCCTGGATGCCAGCCGCCCCTGGTTATGCTATTGGATTGTACATGGCTTAATGTTATTGGATGAGCCAATCCCTGAATCTGTGGCATCAAGGTGAGCTGTATTATAATAAATGTGAGCTATGACTGTAGCAGTCATGGACTGTATCATGCAGAACCATCTGGATAAGTACATACTTCATATAGTACAGCAGCTGGGAATTTATGCATTTTGCTATTCCTGTCTCTTAAAACATTGTGAAAAATTCTCCTCCTTCTGACCATTTTCTTCTCACCGTACAGTAAAATTGAGCCTTTTCTTGTTTGTTTTGGTAGTGAGGCACTGTTAGAACTCCTGTTTTTTTTGTATTGCTGTTCCTCTTTATCATGATCACCACTGGTGCCAAACCATAAAATATGAAATATTAAAGTAGTTGAAAAAACCAGGAGGATATTGGTGGAATTTCATCTTACTTTGGGTTGATTTCTACCCTTGTGTGTACAGATGTGTGGCAAACACCCTCAAGCATATGCAAGGATTAACTGCACTTAGCGGACAAATAAGAAAATAGTCCAGATAATCCTGCCAGCATGATACATGATATTTCAGCTGCAGGAGACGAGCCTTGGAGTTTACACTGTGCGCTTGGTGTGGAAGTAAAAAGGAATACTTGCGGACTTGCCTTCTAGTTTTCTCTCCTCCAGTGCTGGTCCAGGCTTGCTGTCACTGCTCTCTCCCTGCCTTTGCGATCTTCTCCAGCACTCCTAGAGTCTAGACCAGGGGTGGGCAAACTTTTTGACTTGAGGGCCGCAATGGGTTCATATATTGGACCCGGGGGCCGGACCAAGAGTAGATGAATGATGTGTATGTGTCATCCATAGTAAGTATAGTAATATTCCCCCATAGTAAGCATAGTAATTAATCCCCCATATAGTAATTCATCCCCCATATAGTAATTCATCCCCCACATAGTAATTCACCCCCCACATAGTAATTCACCCCCCACATAGTAATTCACCCCCCACATAGTAATTCATCCCCCCTATTAAGTCCCCGAGTCCCCCCTGTGTCAATTCACTTACTTTTGCTCCGCGCGTTCCTCTCGCCGTGTTCCCGCGCCGTTGCGGTGTAGCATGAAAATCTGTCTCCTATGAGGATCTGTCCCGCTCAACGTATCTGCGCATGTGCCAGTTTCAGGCATTAGCAGCCGATCGGCGATCTCCGGCACATGCGCAGATACGTCGAGGGGGACAGATCCTCATAGGAGACAGATTTTCATGCTACACCGGTCTTCAGGGCGGACTGTGAGAGGAGCCTAGCGGGAGCCTAGCTCCGCGGGCCGTAGTTTGCCCATTGCTGGTCTAGACCAAGGGTCCTCAAACTACGGCCCGCGGGCCACATGCGGCCCGCTGAGGCCATTTATTCGGCCCGCCAGCAGGGGCGGGACAGGAAGGGACACAAAGTACAGGGGCGGGCAGGGCGCTGCTGTACCTTACCTGGCTCCAGTCCCACGACGATCCAGTCCAAGAAGCGCTGCTCCTTCATTCACTCCGGCCACTCCCTCACTCCTGCCGCTCGGCTCCGCCTCCTCACCGGTGATTGGGCGCCAGAACTGTAGCTCAGAAAAGGCACACAGGCGGCCAATCGCCTGCGAGGAGGCTGAGCCGAGTGGCACCGCGAACATCGAGTGAGAGAGAGAGGCCGGAGTGAAGAAGGACAGCTGACAGGTAAGTGTGCCGTGCTGTAGGTGCTGCTGCAACCAGGTATGCTGCCTGCAGTAGCACCTAGGCTGGAGCAGGGGTCAGCAAGTTACGTGTCATTGGAGTTAGTGGGAGGAATAGTGCCCCCTCATTGGTGTCACTGATATTAATGATGGGGCATTATTCCTCCACTAACACCAATGATGGGGCACTATTCCTTCCCCCACTGACACCAATAATGAGGCACTATCCCCCCACTGACACCAATGATGGGACACTATCCCCCCCCCCACTGACACCAACGATGGAACACTATTCCTCCCACTGACACCAATGTTGGGACACTATCCCCCCCCACTGACACCAATGTTGGGACACTATTCCCCCCCCCCCCACTGACACCAATGACGTACTATTCTTCCCACTGACACCAATGATGGGGCACTATTCCCCCCCCCACACTGACACCAATGATGGGGCACTATTCCTCCTACTGACACCAATGATGGGGCACTATTCCCCCCACTGACACCAATGATGGGGCACTATTCCCCCCACTAACAAGAGATCCCTGTGCTCAAATCCCAACAGCTAGTGCATGCATTTATCCATCAGGTGCTAAAGGGGTGTAACCACATATTAACACTAGAAATTCTGAGGACCCTCTGCACACTGATATATACCCTTTCAAGCAGACTATGCAATAAACAGGGATATTTAGTTCACACATATTGCAATACATGCTTAAGCTGGCCAACAGCGTCAAAGTAATCCTTCTATGGCCAGTCCTACTCTGCCCTGCCTACGCAAATGCTACTGTGGACACAATGCTAGCATAGGGGAAAAGACACAATGGGGAGAGCTACAAGGTTACTTTGATGCAGTTGGCCAGCTTAAGCATGTATTGCAATATGTGTGAACAAAATATCCCTATTTATTGCGTAGTCTGCTTGAAAGGGTATATACCAGTGTGCAGAGGGCACTTCAGAATTTTCTACTATTCCTCCCACTGACACCAATGCAGGTGCAGGGCGGGTTAATGAGGTCAGCTAGTGAACTACGTCCTCCTATTGGTTGTCCCATCCTGAATACCAAATTCAGGATGGCTAATGGAGGAGATTGGCTGATGGAGGACACCAAGGCTGAAGTAAGGCCTGGTCTAAGAAAAATAGAAAGCTTAACCCCATCTGCAAAATAAGTACGTTAATGGTATGTTGGTACACAGGGAAGCTGGAATTTAGCAAAACAAAAAAGGCAATCTTACGCCGGCTATAGACGGTTCATCGGTCGAAAATCGAAAAATCGGTCGTTCTGATGCCACCAATACTTATGAAAATCTGCCGTTTTTTGTAAATTTTCCAGCATGACCAATAAAAGAAACGAGGAACGGCAAAAATCGGCCGACATTGCCCCACTAACTGTGCGAATATCGGCTGCTTATTCTTTCGGATGTAAATTCGGCCAATACACGAACAGTCTATTGCCTGCATAAGTGTGTCTGTCCGTTTAGGGCAGAGCTGAAAAGTTATACAGGTTGTCATTAGAAACTACTCTGGTTGTTAAGAGTATGGGTGTGGTTGAATTATAACTGTACCTGCAATTTTCCAAACCACCTGTGTACAGTAGTGATAGGAGTGGACTTACAATTAATACAATATAATTTGTTCCTTCTTCTTCCTCCTTCCTCTTCTTCCTCCTTCCCTTTTTTTTTTTTTTTTTCTTCTTCCTAGTGTGTGCCAGTTTCTAGGCCATTGTCAGGATCCCAATGGGGGCTTTGCTGGAGGACCTAGCCAGCAACCCTCATCTAGCTCCTACGTATGCAGCGGTGAATGCTCTATGCACTATTGGAACAGAAGAAGCCTATGATGTCATTAACAGGTATGTGCATCAGACAATCCCTGCTATGTATCTCAAAAGGACCATGTACTGTATTGGGATTTATTTTTTATTATTTAGAATACAGCTAAAATGGTTTCTAAGAAATTTAGAAAATAATTTCCAATTTCAATATTTCTGTATCTGTGGAAAACTTGGAATTGTACACATGAAATATCAGAAGGTTCCTCATTCTCCTCTTATTCCTCCTCTTGGTTTAAAAAAAAAAAACCAAATATATAGAATAAATATATAGCAAAGCATTTGCATGGGCTTGTGGAAGACCTAACACATGTAGGGGTCTATTTATAAATGTTTACTGCCAAGGTTCACACATTTTCCTAATTAGATAATATATGAATCCTGGGTAAAAGTGTGAAAACATTTTATAAATATCCCCTTCAGAATTTAACAAGGAGGTCAGTCCTAATCTGGATGTGGCAAATGTTATTGATATAATAAGATTAAAAGTCGTTCTTCTTTGTTCATGCCATTTTCATGTTTATTTTTCTTATTTAGTTTGAAAAATAAAGATAACATTTTACATAAGATGCCATAGAAGATAAAAAAACTGCCTTAGTTCCCAGATGTATGAAATACCTGACTTTGTTTTCCATGTTTCCTATACTGAATCATGCTGTTTGACTTTCTGTGGACCACAAGGTGCCATCCATTGATATCTTCTTGGGAAGATTCTTTTTGGCATCTTGTCCTTGACTCGGCATGCTAGACCATGTTAAATCCTTATCCCACGTATTGTAAGAACAGGGATCCTTCCGTTTTGTATGGATAAGTAGTCCCCATAGATCAGGGGTGTCCAAAGGGCCAGATTGGATGAAGTGAACATGGTGGAGGGCCGAACATTTTTCCAAACATTCTTTGAACCATTACAATTAAATGCAAATAAATTATTTTATGCCAAGTTATCGTATTTTTCGCCGTATAAGACGCACCTGACCATAAGACGCACCTAAGTTTTAGAGGCAGAAAACAGGAAAAAAAAAATTCTGAACTAATGGACTGCAGACACAGTACAGGAGATGACCAGAGACTGCGGACAGCACAGGGATGACCAGAGACTGCGGACAGCACAGGGATGACCAGAGACTGCGGACAGCACAGGGATGACCAGAGACTGCGGACAGCACAGGGATGACCAGAGACTGCGGACAGCACAGGGATGACCAGAGACTGCGGACAGCACAGATGACTGCTGACCTTTGGGGAGGTGGGGAGCGGGTACCTGAATTTGACAGATACCCGCTCTTACTTCCGCAGTTGTTCTTTGATCTTACCTGTTCCTCGATCCAGCCGTGCGCTGTCTTCCTGGCTTCTGTAATGGCGCTCTGCATGACAGCCGGGTGCCCAGTGCGCATGAGCGAGAAGCACTTGCGGTTTGTGATTGGTCCGGCGGCTTCTGGGATCTGTCATGTGTCCCAGGTACCGCCTTACCATTCACAAAAAGCACCGCTTCTTGCGCATGCGCACTTGGCACCCGGCTGTCATGCCCAGCGCCCACACTACAGAAGCCGGGAAGACATCGCGCCGCTGGATAGAGGAACAGGTAAGGTCCCGCTGCAGAGCTGAGCGGCCGGCCCGGTATTCTGACACGGCCGCGGTGGAAATACCGGACCGACCGCTCCATATTCGCTCCATAAGACACACTGACACACTGACATGGAGGGCCGTATTAAACCGACCCTCGGGCCGTAAATGGCCCGCGGGCCGGACTTTGGACATGCCTGCCATAGATGATAGAAATATGTGCCTTGAAATTAATGCTGGAGGAGGGAATCCAGACTATTTACCTTATAAATAAATTTCTCTTCAAACAATTAAACATGTCCTAGCTCTTTATTCACTTATACTGTATAACCATGCCTTTATACTGAATATCATGGACATTTCTAGGCAGATCACTTTAAATTGTCTGTCCTTTGACAATGATGATTTTGTTTCATAGGGAAAAGCTTCTAGGATTCCTCTGGTCCCTGAAGCAACCCGATGGATCCTTCAACATGCATGTGGGTGGAGAAGTGGATGTAAGGTCAGATATTCATTTTTTTTTTTTCCTAATTTTGTTGTGTGTTTTTTTTTTTTTTTTTGGTGTTTTTGTGTGTGTGTTGCACTGAATGTTCAGTGACCAAAACGGGGAAAAAAATCACCGATACAGGTGCTGAAAATAACCTCGCCGCCGCTTGGTAGTTCTCAGCCTTACCTGAGAAACCATCGAATGATCCCGGTGCTGGGCATGGAGATTAGTGAAGGAAAGATGGCCTCCACTCATCTCTATGCCCTTGGAGGACTGGAGCGATGTCACTTCTGGTTCCAGCCATTTTTTTTGTTTGTTTTAAAGCACTAGATCAATGCTTTTTTTGATCTAATGCTTTACATTGCAGAGGAGAGATGTGGGGTCTTATTGGCCCCATATCTCTCCATAAAGATGACCTGTCACTAATTATTTCTATCACAAGGGATGCATGCATTCCTTGTGATGAGCATAAAAGTGATTACAATTTTTTTTTTTTTTTTTAAAGGGACCGTGCAAAAAAAAAAAAAAAAAAAATTTTAAAGTGCCCACGTAGTGGTGAACGCATATGTAGGCCATGACCACATCTGTAAACCACACATGAGGTATTGCCGCCACGAACGTCAGCGCAAGAGCAATAATTCTCCCACTAGACATCCTCTGTAACTTTACACTGCTAACCTGTAGAAATTTTTAAAGCATCACCCATGGAGATTTTTAAGTACCGTAGTTTCACGCCATTCCACGAGTGTGCGCAATTTTAAAGCATGACTTGTTGGGTATCTATTTACATAACATCCTCTTTCATCTTTTACAAAAAATTGGGGTATATATTTTGGAAAACCTTAGGGATTTTGGTCCACTCTTTACAGATCTTCTCTAAATCCTTGATGTGTGAAAACCTTGTAACCAACTACAATAAACGTCTTACCTCTGTGCTTGCCAACAAGAGTTTCTACACCAAGTACAAAGTCGTGTTTTGCTTGGGATCAAATACATTGATTAAAAAGTGTTCCTTTTTTATTTTTTTGAGCAGAGTATAGCATCAAGTCAATTAAACTCCTGGGATATTGATCTGGCCAGTTAAGTAGCAGTAGCAGAGGGGTTTGTTAATCAGTTACAGCTGCTTTGGTGTTGGGTACACTAGATGGACAACAATGAGACCCCCAACACCCCCCCCCCCCCAAAACAGGAAGGGTTTTACAGGTGGAGGCCACTGACTTTTTTTTTTTTTTTTCCCCTACTAATTTTTTTTATGACAATTTTTCACTAGTTTTGCATTTGTCTAGGGTCAGTGTCACTACTGGTAGCATGAGGCGATACCTGGACCTTACAGAGGTTGCACAGGCAGTCCAACTCTTCCCAGATGGCACATATATACGTGCCATTGCCAGAAGGTTTGCTGTGTCTCCCAGCACAGTCTCAAGAGCATGGAGGAAATTCCTGGAGACAGGCAGGTACTTTAGGAGAGCTGGACAGGGCCGTAGAAGGTCCTTAACCCATCAGCAGGACCGGTATCTGCTCCTTTGTGCAAGGAGAAACAGGATGATAAATCAAAACTTTATAACTTCCCACAGAAAAGTCAAACTTTCACCCTTGAAAGTGCAAAATAACATAAACCTTTTCAATATTATCCATACACCCACACCCTCCCCCGCAGTCTCATACTGCTAGCATAATGTCCATAATAAAGTCCCAAATCCAAAATGACAATCCAAAAATATAAAAAATATAAAAATTAAAATTGAAATAGAAATAAAAGTTTTATGCAAATTATAGTCCTCGTTTTCCAATCTTCCAACCTTGAAAATGTCCAAATCTTCCCTTTAGTCCAAAAGCACCTAAAAAAAAAATAAACTAGATATAGTGCATTATCTTTCATATAAATTATAAGTGATGTCATGCAACCACACTGGTGATATAAATCTACTAATAAATAAGCATCACACATATCACCAGTGTGGTTGCGTGACATCACTTATAATTTATATGAAAGATAATGCACTATATCTAGTTTATTTTTTTTTAGGTGCTTTTGGACTAAAGGGAAGATTTGGACATTTTCAAAGTTGGAAGATTGGAAAACGAGGACTATAATTTGCATAACTTTTTATTTCTATTTCAATTTTTATTTTTTAATTTTTATTTTTTATATTTTTGGATTGTCATTTTGGATTTGGGGCTTTATTATGGACATTATGCTAGCAGTATGAGACTGCGGGGGAGGGTGTGGGTGTAGGAACAGGATGAGCACTGTCAAAGCCCTATAAAATTAGCTCCAGCAGGCCACTGGTGTGAATGTCTCTGACCAAACAATCAGAAACAGACTTCATGAGGGTGGCCTGAGGGCCCAACATCCTCTAGTGGGCCCTCTGCGCACCTTCTGACACCATAGAGCTCTATTGGAATTTGCCATTGAACACCGGAATAGGCAGGTCCGCCACTGGCGCCCTGTTCTTTTTACAGATGAGAGCAGGTTCACCCTGAGCACATGTGACAGACGTGAAAGGGTCTGGAGAAGCCATGTAGAATGTTATGCTGTCTGTAACATCATTCAGCATGGCTGTGTTGGTGGTGGGTCAGTGATGGTCTGGGGAGGCATATCCATGGAGGGACACACAGACTTCTACAGACTACACAATGGCACCCTGCCTGCCATTAGGTATTGGGATGAAATCCTTGGACCCATTGTCAGATTCTATGCTGGTGCAGTGGGTCCTGAGTTCCTCCTGGTGCACGACAATGCCCGGCCTCATGCAGGCATTTCGTGGAGGATGAAGGAATTGATATAATTGAATGGTCCCCAAGCTCGCCTCGCCTAAATCCAATAGAACGCATCCTGGATCAGCAACTGTAAGAATCATGTCATGAGGGGGGAGGAGCCTGAACATGTCGCAGGGAGGGTGCTTGATGTGAGAGCTCCCGAATAGCAAGGCTCCTGTGACCCACCGTAACTATGCCCAGGAGGGTGTAAGAGACCTGGGCTCCTGATATGATCCTGCCTGGGGTGTCTTGCTGGGGTGCGGTTACCAACCCCCCCCGCCCTTGGTCTGTGGTAGAGGTGGTGCGGACGGACTGCGAGGTGCCAGCCAGAGGTGGTTGATTCCCAGGTGTGGAACGGCAGACGCTGGGTCACCATGTGAACGCCGATGAGTACTGGGAAACACAAGCATCGGCTGGGTGGGAGCAGAGAAGAAGTGAACCAGCCCATCCAACTCACGGTTGTCCAGGACTTGGTGACCCCACCCTTTCAGTTGAGACTGTCATAGACTGAGCCTGATCACTCGAGTGTCTTGGAAATTCCTGAGTAAGAAGGTTAGTAGCCAAGCCCACAGCAGCAGTAGAGTAACCGGAGGAAAGTGACGGTGTGGAGACATATGATGGTCTACGCAGATGGTGAGTCATATCTTTAAATGGACTAATACTGTGTAAAGAATAATAGGGGGGATCACCCAGTGGGCTCAAAAAGTGGAGACATAAGAGAGTGGAAGGATACAGAGACCCTCAGGGAGGAAACTGGTGACTCGTTAAATGGGGAAAAATTAAGGGACACTATATCTGGTGAGCTACAACCCTAATTTTCTCCCAAGAAGTAACCCCCCTGCCTTGAAATTACAAAAATTAAGAAAAATATATTATCATGAAGAGTAAAGCTGTGAAAGGGGGAGGGTCTAGAACATCTCAAACAAGAACACTCAAATATATGCCTTCACAATTTAGAAGTCCAGTGGGTCAAACCCCAGAGAGACAACAGAATACGTGCAAGATGGGAGATGGAAAACATTAACAGGGATTGAAAACCTCAGCTGGGATTGCTCCAGATGGGAGTACCTAATATGTGCCAAAGTGGAGAAACTAAAAATATAGAACAGGAATTGGTTATAGGAAATGTTGAAGAAATGTCTCCACAATTGCCTATTAAATCTGAAATAGCAGATATGTTTCTGAGATTGGTATGGTATAAAAGAAGAGATGGTGGTAATACATAAAGATCTGGGGCAAGTTTTGTCAAGAGTAGAAGAAACTGAGGGAAAATTGGGTAAACGTGCTCAAATAATAAATCTAGAAAATCAGATGGAGGAAATGAGGAAGGAACATAGGAGTCTGTTATATAAATTGGAAGATCAAGAAAACAAAGATAGGAGTAATTTTGAGGATACAGGATTTGCCCGAGACTAGGAGAAGATTTGATGGAGAAAACGAGGAAAATGTTCAATACAATAATGGGCAGATTAGTAACTGAGCACTACAAGATCAACAGAGTACATAGAATAGACTAGAAGGAAATGCGAGTGAAAATCCCAGAGATGTGATTGTGCGATTCCATCACTATACAGATAAAGCAGATCCATGGAAGAAGATAAAAAGGATACCAGTAATAAAATATGAAGATGCAGGTTTACAGATTTATGCTGATTATATCATCGGAAACATTGGCCAGAAGGAGAATGTTGAAACCATTACTGGAACAGATGAGACAACAAAACGTACGATACAGCTGGGGATTTCCAGCATGTCTAACTGGATGGAGAGACTGTCGCTCTGCAAGATTGAAGTTCCCAGAAGATCTAAAAGACTTTTTTGCGAGAGACTAGAATTACAGAAAATAGACATCCCAGGGTGGGAAGTGGGGGTAAAAGAGAATAGGGGAATAGAAAATCGACTGTTGACTAGGACCACAAACTATTCAAAGGCAAGGTTGGGGGCGTGGATGAGCATTGTGGGAGGGATATCCTCGTGTTCCTCTGGATGGACAAACATACTCTCGTTTAAGAAAAATTTAGTTGGGGAAAAAAATATGGAAAATGGAGGAGGTTAACTTTATGACCTATAATGTTAAGGGATTGAATACCCCGGGGAAGAGGCATAAGATTCTCAAAGAATTACATCAGAGATCTATTTCAGTAGTGTTCCTACAGGAGACCCATCTGTTACAGGAAACACATGTTGAGTTATATTCTAAATACTACCCAACCTGGTATTATGCAGACTCGCCAACTAAATGTGCTAAAGGGGCAGCAATCAGCTAAAAAATGTAAGCTTTAAGTTTGAGGATTCGGAAGGTCGATTTCTGTTCCTGATGGGAAGTTTACAGGAAATAGAATGTACAATGGTAAATATATATATTGCCCCAATATAAATCCAATGGCCTATTTGAGGAATTTACTAAGAAGGCTTTTGGATTTTAAGAAGGGTAAATTAATTGTGGCAGGAGATTTTAATGGCTGCATGGATCCCCAGATTGATACATCGCATGAGCTGAGAGTTGGAAGCTATGCTAAGTATGCTATATCATTATCAGCTGATATATGTATGGAGAATTAAACATCCTCGAGAAATGGGTTATACGTTCTATTCTGCACATGAGAAGTATTCCAGATTAGACTATATATTGATTGAACATAGTTACAACAATATTGGACCATGCACCTGTCACAATGAAGTTATTATGGGGAAGAGAGCAAGATATGGTAAATGTGGAAACTAAATGAGTCACTCCTTCAGGATCACGAGACGGAACTGAGAGTAAAAAAAGAAATAGAATAATACTTTGAAATAAATGAGACTGAAGGAGTCTCAATTGCTACGGTGTGGGAAGCACATAAGGGCATATATCAGGGGAATTGTAATAGCAGTTGAAGTAGAAAAAGAGAGAACGCCAAAAGAAAATACGTTAATAAGAGAACTATATGATCTAGAACAACTACATAAGAAGAGAATAGTTAAAGATACACAACAGAAAATGATTTTTTTTTAAAAAAAAGAAGAATTAAATAACTTAATGGAGGAAGAAACGAGAATATTTTAACATGGCAAGAGATATCAGTGGGGGAATAGACCTGGTAAATTTTTTTTAATGAGAGCACTGGGAAATAAGAAATTGAGGAGTTTTGTAGAGAATATAAAAGATAAGGGTGAAATGATGTATTCAACTACTGATATCTCTAATTTGCTAATGTTTTAAAAAAATATCATATGACGTCCTATCAGAACGAGAGAACCACCTTGCGCCCGTCATTGTACTATAGGGCGGACGGAAGGTGGTTAAGGGTGTGCACACTTATGCAACCATATTATTTTAGTGTGGTGTTTGTTTTTGTTTTTTGTTTTTTTTTTACTTCCCTCCACCTAAAAAGATTTCAATTTGTTGTTCAACTGAGTTGTACAGTCTATAGGTTACATTACAGGTGGAAAAAGTTCTGAAATATTTTATCTTTGTCTCATTTTTTTACATCACAAAAACCTGATATTTTAACAGGGGTGTGTAGACTCTTCTATATCGTGTGTGTGAGAATATGAATGGATACAGGATATTACCAATACATACACACCCCTCCAAATCATTGGTTTCAGGTGTTCCAATTACCTCCATGGCCACAGGTGTATAAAATGAAGCACCTATTCATGCCGACTGCTTCTACAAACATTTTGTGAAATAATGGATCGCTTTCAGGAGCTCAGTGAATTCAACTGTGGTACTGTGATAGGTTGCCACCTGTGCAATAAGCCCATCCGTGAAATTTCCTTGCTACTAAATATTCCACAGTCAACTGTTAGTGGTATTATAACAAAGTGGGAACAACAGCAACTCGGCCACAAAGTAGTAGGCCACGTAAAATGACAGAGCAGAGTCCGCGCATGCTGAAGCACACAGTGCGCAGAATTTAGCTAAAGACCTTCAAACTTCATGTACCCTTCAGATTAGCACAACAGTGCGTAGAGCGCATCATGGAATGGGTTTTCATGGCCGAGCAGCTGCATCCAAGCCATCACTAAGTGCAATGCAAAGCGTGGGATGCACTGGTGTAAAGCACGCCGCCACTGGACTTGAGCAGTTGGAGACGTGTTCTATATCTGGCAATCCAATGGCTGTGTCTGGGTTTGGCAGTTGCAAAGATAATGGTACTTGCCTTTCTGCATTGTGCCAAGTGTAAAGTTATTTTTGGTGGAGGGGGGATTATGGTGTGGGGTTGTTTTTCAGGGGTTGGGCTTGGCCCCTTAGTTCCAGTGAAGGGAACTCTTAAACATACCAAGACATTTTGGACACTTTCATGCTCCCAGCTTTGTGGGAACAGTTTGGGGATGGCCCCTTTCTGTTCCAACATGACTATGGACCTTGCTTTGTGCACTGGTGCACAAAGACATGGATGAGCGAGTTTGGAGTGGAGGAACTTGACTGGCCTGCATAGAGTCCTGACCTCAACCTGATAGAACACCTTTGGGATGAATTAGAGTGGAGACTGTGAGCCAGGCCTTCTTGTCCGAAATCAGTGCCTGACCTCACACATGCGCTTCTGGAAGAATGGGTAAACATTCCCATAGACACTACTAAACCTTGTGGACAGCCTTCCCAGAAGAGTTGAAGCTGTTATAGCTGCAAAGGGTGGGCCAACTCAATATTGAGCCCTACAGACCAAGACTGGGATGCCATTCTGTTGGAGATTACAACTCTGCATCATCTGCATTGATTTTAAGTCATCCTACTGCATTCTTCAGAAAGAAAAATGATATAACACAAACTGTGAAATTCTTGTTTCTATCCCCTCTAACACTCCCTGGGCATGAGGCTGTTGTAGGCTCCCTATAGCTCCCTCTATCATGTCACAGCTGTATTTGTGTACATTTTTGGCTGCAGTCTTTCCAAAGTTGTAACACATACTTTACAGCGGCAAAAAGGGGGGGCAGTTAGGTTGTGGACACCATCTGCTTGCCTAAAAAAAAAAAAAAAAGGGTTGGGCAAGGTTGCTCATGAAAATTGTAGACTCAATAGGAATAAATGGTATTTTATATTTCAAAATAAACAGTTATGGTTAGTACTTGTGACGAAGTTTAATTTCTTGTATTACAGAAGTGCCTATTGTGCTGCCTCTGTGGCATCACTGACCAATATCATGACACCCAAGTTATTCGATGGTACGGCTGAATGGATAGCCAGGTATGAAAATGTTGCTTTTATTTACATAAACATTTAAATATCTGATGTTTTAGGGTAACCTAATAGGATGTACTGTTTTCCCGCTAGGTGCCAGTTTTGGGAAGGTGGCATCGGTGGGGTGCCAGGCATGGAAGCACATGGAGGATATACATTTTGTGGCTTGGCAGCCTTAGTCATTATGAAGAGGGTTCACCTATTAGATCTAAAGAGCTTGTTGGTAAGTTATTAATTTTTTTTTTTTTTTACTTTTGCTGCCATTTTTTTTTTTTTTTGTAAAAAAAAAAAAACATAAAACCCCAAAATATGATGTATTTTCTGAAAGCGGAGGTCCCATAAAATAAAAAATTATGGTGGTTGCATTTTCCAATGATATTAGTGCAACTGTTTATCAAACCTATATTTTCATTAAAAAATACATTCAAGCTAATTAATGCATGTGAATAGAATAAAACCTCCAAATGTTCTGTACAAAAAAATAGTCAAGTAAATAGTTCACAAAATGTCAAGACTCAAAACTGCGTGTGCCTGGGACACAGCAACAAACTGTGATACACAAAATTGCCCTAGACAATGCTTTTAACCACTTTCCACTTACCTTACACATATATGCAGCCTCTCAGCAGGCGGGCTTTAATGCCGAGTGGCTGCATATAAGCACATCACAGTAACCGGCAGGTACCAAAAAGCTCCTGCTGCATACTTGGGATACTTGCCAATCGCAGCGGTCACAATTGAAGTGTCCCCCCTTGCCTCTCGGCCTTTAGAACCTCCTAAAGGGCTGGGAGGTGGGATGGAGTTAAAGCCTATACAGGTCATCAACTCAGAGTTTAACCTTTTTAAATGATACTCATAAATAAAGTGAAAAATGGCAATAAATCTGTGAACAATAATAAATAGATAAAATAAAGTACAAATATTTACAAAATGTACATGCAGCAGATCAGCAAAGTTCCTGTGAATGAGTTCTGGTCTGTGTTCCGCACACCGGCTTGGGGATTGGGAGCGGCGGGGCACAGTGTTTGATTTTACCCTATGCTCTGCGTGTCTTGGTGCCTTTTTGGCATAACAAAATGTGAGTGCAGTTCATTTTATTTCTTTTTTTTATATTTCAATGATTTTTATTAGTATATAAACATTAAACAAAAACAGGAGCAAGAGGCCATCAATTGCACATAAACAAATTTAAGACAACCATGCTCTAACACCAACAGAGCAAAAGGTGCGCCCACACAAGGGCTATCAATGGCACATAAATGACAAAAACATTGGTATAATATCATTTTAGTTTCTTTTTAATAAAAATACTACACGATGAAAGCATCATCTGAGTGTAAGTTTCGCCTTCGGGAAGTTATCCATTTGAAGACTATCTGCTTCATCTCCTCTTCTTGCTGGTGGTCTCAATGGAAAAGGTGTGACAGGCTTATTGGATATAGAAGTCAGGTAAGTTATTGATCATACCACACGAGGTGGAACACTGTGTTTGGAATATGGAAAATACACTAATTTCTGATCCTTTTGAACACGGTGCTTGGGAACTTTGCTGATTTGCTACATGGACATATTATGATTATTTGGACTATATTTTATGTATTGATTATTGCTCACAGATTTGTTGATATTTTTCACTTTGAGTTTTATTGTTCTCCCTTACTTTAGGAGTAGCGCCTATCTTCAGTTATGGATTTTCACATTTAGTGTTTCTTTACAATAAAGGGGCAGCTTCTCTCTATTGTTTCACACACATTTGGTTGGTGCCCTTTTAACACATATTTTTTCTAACCTTGTATTGTGTCCCTAGAGTTATTCCAGTGTGCATTGCAGTAGCCAGCATGTGTTGCCTAATGCATTTATGTACCAGTGTAAACCACACGCATACATGAGTCAGTGGGAGGGGAGATTTAACCTTTTATAGTGTGTGTATATGTTTAATATAAATATATATTATATTTTCTGGACAGCATATAGGCCAAACACATCTTAGGGGAACAAAAAATTCTAAATTCCAGTGGTGATCAAATACCATGAAATGAAAGCTCTGTTTGTACCCAAAGGAAATTTATATAATTTTTTCAGTGTTGCATGACCACGCAATCGCCAGGTAAAGTAGCAAACTGTTGAATAGCAAAAAATGCCCTGGTTATGAAGGGGGTAAAATCTTCTGCAGCTTAAGTGGTTAAGATACCGATTGTGATCTATTTTCTTACTAGTACTAACGTTAAACAAACCTAATGTATTGATTCAGTGGATGGACTTCTTATTGCCCTGTATGAACTTGAAATATGAATGTAATGGCTTTGGTTGTCTTTCAGAGATGGGTTGTTTTTAGACAAATGAGATTTGAGGGTGGATTCCAAGGTCGCTGTAATAAATTGGTTGATGGCTGCTATTCCTTTTGGCAAGCTGGTCTGCTGCCCCTCCTCCATAGAACTTTACATGCTGAAGGTAACAACCTTTCTGCCGTATGTTTCTTATAGTGCAGATTTAGCCGTACAGCTTGATGGTGTCAGTGCATGCTCTAGTGCTAAACTCTGTATGTTATTTGTAATATTACACAATCCTGAATCCAAAAAAGGATTATTATGAATGCCCTCAAATGTCAGTGTCCCAGATACCAAGTATACCCCACTATCAGCTAGTAATATGCTGTCGCTGGAAAATTACAGACAAACCAGAAATGTAAGACAGGGATGTGCAATTTGTAACAGCTTACACCTGGGACATGTAGTTCCGGACAGGTAGATTTTGTTAACATTTAGCCCTCTCTCAGGCAAGCAACAGGGCTTGTCAAGTGGAAGCATTCAGGCCTGATTGCTTTCACACTTGCCAAGATAGTGCACCCCCCATGCATGAGATATGTATTTTGGACTCTCTTTTCCCATCTGCGGGCCCGGATCGGGAACAGCGAACACTGCTAGTTAGAGGCACACATCCGCTCTCCTTCCCTTGTTCCTGATCCGCAAGCGACATGTATGACCTCACTTCCAGGACACCATTGACCGTGTCCCTGGCCTTCGAGGCTGGGAAAGAATGTAATGCAGTGCGATCTGCACTGCATTACATTTAGATGAGCACTGGTTAAAGAGAACAGGTCACCAAAAAATCATGATGTTAAAAAAAAAAAAGTTACACCCAAGCACATAAAATTATTCAATTCCCCCCCCCCCCCTCCCCCCCCCCCCCACACATATATGCGCGCACAAATGCACGTGTCTGGGCGCCTATGCATAAAAATGTAATTGTGATACATATCACTGTGTATGCCGGAATGAGTGCAATATTTATAGCACCAGATCTCCTCTGTTCTATATTCAATTCTAAACTGATTGCCTATAGGGGGCTTTTAAAGCATCACCTTTAGAAAATATAGGGTGCTGAAGTTTGTTGCCATTTCATGAGTGCACACAAATTTAAGGTTTGACATGTTGAGTATCTATTTACTCGGTGCAACCTAATCTATTATATCTTACCAAAAAATTGGGCAATTTATTGTGTTTTTTTGTGCCCTAAAATTATTTTTTTTTTTTTACTGACATTTTTGGGTTTCCTAGACCTTTTGCAGTAACATCAGAATGGAACTACCACCATTTTATTTTCTAGGGTGTTTGCTTTCAGAAAATATGTAATGTTTTTGGGGTTTTATGTAATCTGTAATCTTCAGGCCTAAAGTTACTAATTTATTTTTAAACGTGTGCAAAAAAACTCAAACGCTGCCCTTGCAGCGAAAGGGTTAAAGAATAAGATCACCTTTTGAGAATGTTACATGTTTCACCTGTTTTTAGGGTGGAACTTATACCATGCTCCTGCAGCGTCTCTGTGATGGAAGCCCCCTGTATGACAGCAGTACAGGGAGAAGTTCCCTGTACCAGCTGTCACTTTTTGAAAAGAGCGGGGCTCGGCCCACACGGCTGCAACATTCATTCACAGAATTCTGTGCATAAATCAACTACAAGTACTGGCATCCTTGCGGATGTCGACTTGTAGATCTCAATGAACTACCACGGCGCTGTTAAGCGCTCTAGTAGTTCATTGATTCTTTGTCAGTGCGAAAAGGCCTACTTGTACGATGCATGGACAGCTTACACTGACAGTCTGTAGGAGTCATGCATTACCCCCACGATCTGCTGATCGCTGGTGCAATGCTTTCCAGGCAAAAAATATAGGAAATTCATGAAAAAATGTGCATTTATTTAATTTATTTACTTTTAAAGGTGAACTTATCCTTTGACGGCATGAATGCTGGAAGCTGATTTGGCTGCTCAGCATGTGCTTGTACTGAGCACCCAAGTGTTTTCCATGTGCAAGTGTACTCTGAGGGAATAAAGGGGTTTTTTTTTTCTTCTCATTGGGGCCGGCGCCCTATCTACTCGCTCAACAGACACGCTTCTGCTGAGTATTAAGAGAACCTGTCACTTCCCTTTCCTGATAACACTCAACCAGTGCTCGTCACACTGCAAGGGCTCTCCCCTCTCTGCTAGTCCTTGGGTGTACAGCTGGAGAAAAGGAGGGGAGTAGGAGATAAACTTGTAAATATTTTTAACATTTCGCTGTTCAAGTTGCAGTAAAGCCCCTTTCATTTTTAAAAGCCCCAGACATTCCTAAAAGTGCTTCAGATTTAAGTACGGCTTTGATTAAAATTATTTTATTTATCAAGGCAAGTAGATTGTCATGAGGGACAAGTAGTTTTTTGTTTTTTTTTTTTTTTTGTTTTTTTAAACATTCCACACCCTTGTAAGATCATGTGGGTAGTGATATTTCAATATGCATACTTCCTATCCAGTAAATTCCACAGATGACATTGGTCCGAGGTTCCTTCTGCCTTCTATAATGATGGCTTGGTTTAACATTTTACCACAAAATGACATCCCAATCCCCATGAGCCACTGTATGTTGTTAGATTTTACATGTAATGTCTATAATTTCCTTTTACCCAAATCTGTCTCGCTGTGTAACTTCAGTTGTAGAATTAGATTGGAAGTAAGGACTGTTGTGACTGATTTAATCTTCTGTATAAAGTTCTAAAGTGGTTGTAAACCTTCTGAAATGAAAAATGAACAAAGCATATCTTTCTATAGTGTGTACAGGCCCTAAGCACTAGTGTGATTTCTGTCTGCTCTCCCATTCCTGTGTTAATCTGCATGAATCGCTTCTTATTAATCTGACACCATGCAATTCCAGGATATGGCCCCAGCACACATAGAAGGTGATTGACAGCCTCAGCTGTACATTTCCTTATGAAACTATGTAAAGGTGAATGTTTGTTTGTTTTGCATTCCTTCTACTCAGGTCTCAGGTTACACTAAGCTGTCCATTCTGTGCTGTGCAGGGTGTGATCTCAGATCCCCACCTCCTGAAATTCAAATGCTGTGCAAACTGTGCGCTTTGACAAAGATTGTACCTGTTTATTTACAGCCATCTCATAGTGAAAGTGTTTGTTTCATTTCTGTGTATCATGAAGCTGGTCGCTTCACTAGGTATACAGTTAGGTCCATATATATTTGGACACAGGCACAATTGTATGTTTTTTCAGGTATTTACCAAAACATATTTAAGCTATAGTTTTATAATGGATATGGGCTAAAAGTGCATACTCTCAGGTTTAATTTGAGGGTATGAACATCCAAATTGGAGGATGGGTTTAGGAATTACAGCTCTTAAGAGTAGCCACCCCCCCTTTTTTCAAGGGATCAAAAGTAATTGGACAATTGAATATAATCATAAATAAAATGTTCATATTTTGTTGAGAATCCTTTTATTGGCAATGACTGCCTGAAGTCTGGAACCCATGGACATTACCACAGACTGGGTTTCCTCCTTTCTGATACTTTGCCAGGCTCTAACTGCAGCTGTCTTCAGTTGTTCTTTGGTTGTGGGTCTTTTTGCCTTTTTAGTTTTGCCTTCAGCAAGTGAAATGCATTCTCAATTGGGTTAAGATCAGGTGATTGACTCGGCCATTGCAGAATATTCCACTTCTTTTCTTTCAGAAGCTCCTGGGTTGCTTTTGCAGTATGTTGTTTGGATCATCGTCCATCTGTACTGTGAAGCGCCGTCCAATCAACTTTGCTGCATTTGGCTGAATCTGGGCTGACCGTATATCTCTAAACACTGCAGAATTAATCCAGCTGCTTCTGTCTTCTGTCACATCATCAATCAACACCAACAACCCAGTGCCACTGGAAGCCATGCATGCCCATGCCATCACACTGTCTCCACCATGTTTTACAGATGATATTGTGTGCTTTGGATCATGAACTGTTCCAAGCCTTCTCCACACTTTTTTTTTCTTTTCCTTCCCGTCAGTCTGGTAAAAAAATTTTAATCTTGGTTTCATCCATCCAAAGAAAGCTTTGCCAAAAAAAATCTAAAAACGCCAGACCAGTTCTGGAAAAGTCTAATCTGGCTTTTCTATTCTTCGGGCTTTTGAATGGTTTGCACCTTGTGGTGAACCCTCTGTATTTGCTCTGGTGAAGTCTTCTCTTGATTGTAGACTTTGACAAGGAGACACCCACCTCTTGGAGAGTGTCCTTCACTTGTCTGGTACATTCTGAGGAAAAACCCATGCACAACATCCAAACTGCTGATTTGGCCACTCCTAATGTTGCTGCTATCTCTCTAATGGATTTGTTTTGTTTTTGAAGTCTTTGAACGCATGATGTAAGTTCACAGCAATACATTCCAAATGCAAACCGCAAACTTAGAATCAGCTCCAGACCTTTTACCTGCTTAATTGATGAAGAAATAACAAATGAGTAGCCCACACCTGGCCATGAAACAGCTTTTGATTCAATTGTCCAATTACTTTTGGTCTCTTGAAAAAGGGGGGATGGCTGCTTGTAAGGGCTGTAATTCCTAAACTCTTCCTCCAATTTGGATGTACACTTGTGTTCAAAATAATAGCAGTGTGTTGAAAAAAGTGAATAAAGCTCAAAATCCTTCTAATAGCTTTTATTTCCATACACACAAATACATTGGGAACACCACACATTCTATTCCAAATCAAAACATGAAGAAAAATATATCAAATTTGTGTTGTTCCTCTAAAAAAAATTGAAGAAAAGTGAATATTAGACTGTTCAAAAAAATAGCAGTGTGTTTGTATTCTTCTTTACAAACTCAAACATTCACTATATAAAATGAAAAACGTTTGAAGATTTTGCTTTCCTTTGAATCACTTAATGAATATTTAGTTGTATAAGCACTGTTTCTGAGAACTGCTGTACATCTGTTTTGCATGGAGTCAACCAACTTCTGGCACCTGTGAACAGGTATTCCAGCCCAGGATGATTGGACTACATTCCACAGTTCTTCTCTATTTCTTGGTTTTGCCTCAGAAACCGCATTTTTGATGTCACCCCACAAGTTTCCTATTGGATTAAGATCCGGGGATTGGGCTGGCCACTCCATAACGTCAATCTTGTTGGTCTGGAACCAAGATGTTGCACGTTTACTGGTGTGTTTGGGGTCGTTGTCTTGTTGGAACACCCATTTTCAAGGGTATTTCCTCTTCAGCATAAGGCAGCATGACCTCTTCAAGTATTCTGATGTATTCAAACTGATCCATGATCCCTGGTATGCGATAAATAGGCCCAACACCGTAGTATGAGAAGCATCCCCATATCATGATGCTTGCGCCATGCTTCACTGTCTTCACAGTGTACTGTGTCAGATGACCCCCAAACACTGAATTCAAGCCAAACTGTCTCCGGCCACTAGACCCAAAAAGAACAATCTTACTTTCATCAGTCCACAAAATGTTGCGCCATTTCTCTTTAGGCCAGTCAATGGTCAATGTGCTCTTTGGCAAATTGCAACCTCTTCAGCACGTCTTTTTTTTCAACAGTGGGACTTTGCGGGGGCTTCTTGCAGATAGCTTGGCTTCACATCGGCATCTTCTAATTGTAAAAGAACTCACAGGTAACTTTACACCTTCTTTGATCTTCCTGGAGCTGATTGTTGGCTGAGTCCTTGCCATTTTGGTTATTCTTCTATCCATTCGAATGGTAGTTTTTCACTTTCTTCCACGTCTTTCAGGTTTTGGTTGCCATTTTAAAGCATTTGCGATCATTTTAGCTGAGCAGTCTATCATTTTCTGCACTTCTTTATATGTTTTCCCCTCTCCAATCAACTTTTTAATCAAGGCACGCTGTTCTTCTGAACAATGTATGGAACGACCCATTTTCCTCAGAATTTCAGAGAGAAATGCACTGTAACCAGCATGTACAACATTTGCTGCCTTCTTTCCTTAAATAAGGGCAATAATTGCCACCTGTTTTTCAAAGAATGAATGACCTCACTAATAGAACTCCACACTGCTATTATTTTGAACATGCCCCTTTCAATTAGTGATTCAATTACACAGAATCAGCAGCATGCATGTCATGACTGTTAGGTCTGTTGGATTTCTATAACTCTACTACACCTGCTAGTAAATTATTTGCCATGTAGAAATATAATTTTTTCCAAAAACCGTGATTGATCAGGTTAGTGATGTCTGACTGCTATTATTTTGAACATAACTGTAAATACCCTCAAACCTGAGAGTGTGCACTTTCAGCCCATATCCATTATAGAACTATAGCTTGAATATGTTTTGGTAAATACCTGAAAAAACCTACAATTGTGCCTGTGTTCAAATATATATGGACCTAACTATATGTAAAGGTTTACTACCACTTTTAGGAACATGAGTCGCTGATAGACAGATTGGATACAATAAATAACTATAACTGCCATAAACTGAAAAGAATCCTTCCTGGGAGAGGTATAGAGGTTACCATTGATGGATTGTGCAGATATTTTTAGTGGCGGTCACGTTTACCCTCGTGAATGCCTTCTGTTACCTGGAACAAGCATGAACAAAAGGATATCTGACTTTACATACAGTATATGCATGCTTGTTCCAGGTCAGTGGCACCATACTGAACCCTGTTGGTCAGTGTACTAGCCAGATAGCTGGCATCTTCAGAAGGGGATTGGTGGTAGTAGTAGCCCCATGTTTCTCTCTGGAAAGGTTTGCTTGAACGCTGATTGGCTGCTCTAGGTCACAGCAGGTTGTATGTCATCTTTTCACTGTATAACTGAAAGTATTGTCTGTGCAGGAGATTCGGCCCTCAGCTACACCAACTGGATGTTTGACCAGAAGGCCCTCCAGGAATATATTCTCATGTGTTGCCAGTGCCCCAGCGGTGGTTTACTAGATAAACCTGGCAAGTAAGAACGGTTTAGTTTTTACTGGTATTGCACTGTGGTGGCTTCTTTTGTTTACAGGACTTTTCTTTTTTTGGTGTCTTTAAAGATCAAGAGACTTCTATCACACCTGCTATTGTTTGAGTGGCTTGTCTGTAGCTCAGCATTTTGGAAGTGGTGAGATGCTTCGGGAGACTGTTGTGGGATCTCCGGAAAACATTTTGGTGAGTAGAAAGATGGGTGACAACCATAAAAACTGGATGACCTCTGTTAGTTAATAGAAAGCAGCAGCTGACTACTGGAAGGATAAGTCCATGGCCTGAGAGGGGAAATCTTATAATAATACCCTAATATGATTTAAACACAGGATTTATAGACTGCCAACAGTTTGCAGCTTTTTACAATATTAAGGGAGATAGTATAATACAGGAGGGTCCTGCTCATGGAGCTTACAGTCTAAGTGGCCGTGCCTGTTGCTTGTGTTTGGCCAATCATTAAGATCCTGCAAGGGTATTGGACCATTGGCCTAAGGTTTCCTCTGGAGATGATGATCCAGATTGCCTTGTATAAGAAATATGTTCGCCTTACTTGTAGATGACTCCCATGTACTTTAACGCTTAATTAACAAGTAAAGCAGCACTCCCAACCCTGTGGAAGTCAATAGTCACAAGCCCAGGAACACATGAAATTCAAATTCAGTTTAATTTTGTTAAAACGTTTGGCATGTAGGAGTGCCCAGATTGATTCATCAACAATCCAGTGTTGAGAAACACTTTCCCGAAGTTGAAGGAGAACACATGATCCCAGACCCAACAGTAGGTTGCCCAGCCCAGGAGCCTCAGAACAGTGGGAGGTGTGTGGATGGCAGCCGGGATCACTGCGATGGCACGTCCACCGGAATTCATATCTCCCGGAACTGGATGTGATGTCATACACCTGGCGGAAGACCACCCAAGCAACAGCTGGTAAGGGCAAACTGGAAGCCTAGGAGAGCACTCAAACCATGTCATACAATAGGAGAGAAGCCGGTCATCATGTTTTATTTGTTCCTGGGCGTGTGACTCTAGTGACTGCCACAGGGTTGGGAGCTCTCCTTTTACTTGTTTTTTGCTCATGTCTCATTGCTGTTCAAATGGGTTGTAGCTGCCCAGGCTGTGGTTATCTACATATCCCCTGGAACCTTGGTATTTGCAATTTCTTTTTATGTTTAAATGACTTTCCCTACATGAACTTCTTTTTCTGATGTTACTTTACCTGCACTTGGCACACTTTCTGGTCACATAGAGTAGCTCACTGACTTACTAAGCTCTAACAGTAAATTACCTTTCATGAGGAACTAGCAACTTCTGAAAAAAAAACAAGAACACTCACCTCTTCCATACATCTGTAATGAGATGTTTGCATTGATATAATTGAGAATAGGCAATAAATGTGCTGAAGGCAGAAAGTTTAAGAGCGGATTGTGGGCTGGCTACAGACAGAGTACTTTTTTTTTTTTTTACAAAGCTTATCAATACTCATATCAAATAAAAATACATTTTGTTGGATATAGCAGGGAAGGTGGTTAGCCTATCAGACCTGCAATGTTTGATGGAATGGGCTGGGCCTTCTTTCATAACTGTCTGTGTTCTTTTTAGGGAACTTCACCTTCACTTCACTTAGGACAGGAAGTGATAGGAAATCTCTCCAACATAGACGCTGCTAAAACAAAAAGACATTTATAGTGTTGGGCCTCCATCATGCAGGCGTTTAACCAGTCAAGTGAACTGGCATATTCTTGCAGTTGGAATTACAGGTGCATGGGAATAGCAGAGGTCCTTCAGTCTGTTTTAAGTAATGACCGGCTGCCAGTGGCCATTGCTGACTTGCATGTAACCGGTCACCATGGGTTTACTTGTGGGTAGGGGGCCAATGTCCGAGCCTGGGTGCTTCTGACTGCACATATGCTGGGACATCCATGCCTACCACTGGTAACCACTGTGTGCAGATACATGCAAACAGAGACCGCCATGTCAGCCTGTCTTTACTTTATATGCCTACACCCATTATTCCTGCTACAAGAATCCATTGATTCTGGGATCTGGTGTATGCAGGTAAATTCCTCGGAGAAGGAGGCTTTAGAACTTCTGTTGTTGCCTTCCTGTCCCATCTGCAACCCACATATCTTCTAGTGATGTCACAGGGACAGGAGGTGAAAGAAAACATTTGCACTGGGGTCACAGACAGAAAATAACTGACATATTGATACTACTAAAAGTGCTTTCTTAAATGTCTTTACGGTAATTGCAAAGATACCTGTTGTTGTTGATTCTGCCCAAATCTTGTGTGCGAACTGTGTTCATGCTGGACCTACCAGTCAGAGCTCTTCCCAGTTATAATTGTGGACTACAGTACACCTCTCACCTATTATATTGAGATGATGTGGTGTTCTGTAGTTCTAAGCCGCTTCCTTTCCTAGGGTGACAACGCTGCTCCTCCTCCACTGATACAATACAGTGCGTGAGCATCACACTTGCATAGGAATTGTGTTAATGGCAGGATCAGGTGAAAATAAAAATCCTGTTTTACTGAAACGATTCCCCATTGTTTATTTTGGGTTAGTGTACTAGTTTTGTTCAGTAGATCAGACATGGGCTCATTATGGGAAAATGAACCCTATGATGGTTCACCAAGCAGGCACTGGCATTTGTGTTTTTTTTTTTTTTTTTTTTTTTCCCCCCCTACATCTAATAATTGTATTTCTGGTTTTAATATAACTGTTGGAAAAATACAAAAGTTGGGTTTATTGCCTTTTTGGTTTTTTTTTTTTTCCTCCTCCGTGATAGAAATGCATAGACCATCTCAACACCATTTTAATTATGAAAATGCAGAACTATGTATAGTACCTTATGTTTGTTTTCTCTTCCTCTCTGACAGAAACCTACACATCCTGTATATAATATTGGACCCGATAAGGTGGCTTCTGCCATCATGCATTTTATGCAGAAAGAGATTCCAGACTTAAATTCCAAAAACAATGAAATGTAGGTGAAGTACAAGGTTGCTGCGCACTTACTTTGGTTTAAGATGCTACAAGTTATAACCTGGAGGAAGCCATCATGTACACTCTTTCAAGGGCTGCACAGTGTCTTAGGAGTTTCCAGGACTGAATGGTGTTTGTGGAAGCAGAAAGGCCATTCTAATGGTAAATCCACACCTTACCCAAGAGACCTTTTCTGTTAGTACATATAAAATTTTAGCACTTCTGAAATGTACATGTGGCAGGATCTGAGTACTTTCAGAACAGGTAGGCTTATTGTGGTGCCACGGAAACCAGATCCCCCCCCCCCCCCCCCCCCCCCTCCATTTGCTTGTTGTGGTAACAAGACTCCATTGAGTTACAGTAGTCCTTAAACCAAATATCCTATTTTGAATGAAAATGGTAAAACTGAAAGTGTACATATTACCTTAAGTCATATTTACTGTACGTAGCTGTGCTACCTGCAGCACTTTGATGTATTTTTGGTGCTTGCTACAGACTAATGGATTTGCTGTGTGTAGGTCATCTTGCATATGTATGAATGGCCAGAATGTAAGGTGACCCAGACTGGGCTGAAGCACTGTGATCAGAAAACCTGTAAGATGCACTTTTTTTATTTTTTTCTTTTAAACCCCCTTAAAGACCAGCAAGTGTTAGATGGAATGGGCCTTTTGGTGCAGTGATAGGTCATGAAGAAAGACTTGTATATAACGGCAGTTATGCTAATTTCACACAAAAAAAAAAGAGGCAAAATAAGATGATTTCCTTTAAAGGCCACTTTTTATAACTTATTACACTTGTATACTTAAAGCTGGCCATAGATGGGTTTAATTTTGGCCAGTTCAGCAGGGAGCAGACAGATTTTGATACATGTGTGGGTGACTTTGGTTGAACAGGAATGTTGGAAAACCTTTGATAGGCAGGTGTAGCTGCTGCTCGGTGTATCCTGAGAGTAGAGGAGTCTAGCTATCAGAATACCTCAGTGAGGAGGTTTTTCTCCATCCACCTCGCTTGTGGGGATGGAGGTAGTAATTAGTTTTTTTTTTTCTTGATCAACACACTGGTTAATTAAAAAAAAAAGTTGACTATGGTCAGCTTTATAGTAGGTATGCTGCAGCTGGTTTCACCCTCTCATAGTCTGCTTTCTGGAATTATCCTTACTTACTTTTTCACAATAAATGTGCTCATAAAACCCTGTTGGAAGACCAGCTTTAGAATTGAACAATAGGTGAGCTCTAAATATTGCCTCTATGGTAATGATTCAAGTGACTCCCTAGGTCCAGTACAGAGGCATGGGGCTGTGAGTGTAATAATCTTTTTGCAGGTTAGATGTTAGGACAGCTTAGGAGTTGTCTTTGCAAAGTAGGCTGATAGGAAGCTGCATTCTGGCCACTTTGCTGTGAACTGCACAATGCAAAGTATCTGCAAGCTTGTATTCCAAAATCACACGTTTGATACAAGTACATATTTTTGCCCTGAACACGATTGTGGCATTTATTTCTTGCTTGGCATGGACACTGCATGTACTGTGATACAGAGCAATAAAACATTACTACTTTGGTTCCCTTTTTTCACTTATTAGTGGACTGTGATCAGGTGACAAAATGTTTACTGATTATCCGCCTATAGAGCAAGGTGTCTTAGCTGTGCTTCTCAGTGGCCACCACAAGGTCCTACCTTCCACACGTCGCTTTTAGAAGAACTCTTGTTAGTAATAACTCGCCTTATATTGGAGCAATTAAATGCTTGGTCTATTTATGGGGCTATGTTGCACCCATGTTGAGGGTGTACCATGAAAAACAGTTGCATTCCCCCAGTCACCTGAATATCAAGGTGCATCTCCACCCCACTAGGATGACTGTAATCCCATCTGCTGCCCCCACAGAGGGACTCTGTGTGATATTACACTTGTAAACCATTGTTTACTACTTCCACCCCAATAATGGAAGCTCTTCACTTCCACAGTATTCAGGTATCTGTGATGCACTGTGGGCTTTACTGTGAAAATTTTAAAATTTGCCTTTTTTTGGTGCATGTCTTACAGTTTGTGCTAAAGGTGGACTATGCCTTTATAGAGGTATTAGGCTACAAATAAGACTGATCCTGCAGAAGCAAATTGATTTTTACCTCATCTTGACCCAGACCATTTTAATAACTAGGGTTTTTTTCCATGTAGGCAATTTATAACATGACCATGTATTCCAAGTAATGTATATGGCTTGCACCAATACATTGTCCAATGAAATTGTTGACCTGGAGGTAGATAATGCAGTCTTTAAAACTCCCTTATGATGTTATCCTTACAAAAACTACACTATTTTTAGCTGTAAATATGGAAACCCTGAGAACACGTATTGAGCTGCAGCATGGGACTTAATAAAGCCTAACTGCAATTTCACTGAAGGGAAAAAAAAATATATATATATTTACATGCACACACTTGTACTTATCCCAACACCTATGAAAAAACTGCAATATTAGAAGTTATTAGTGAAAACAATTGTGTTACCAACCTGCTGTGCAAAACCATTTTGGTGGAGGAAAGGTTCTTGCTCCACTCAATGCACAGCAGGTCTCCTATCCTCCACACAGTACCCCCAACACAGAAGTGGAATGCAGTCTTTATCTTCAGTAAAGTTAACAGCCGTGTGTTTTTTTTTTTGTTTGGTTTTTTTTTTTTTCTCTCCTTCTCTTTACCCCTTTCATAGGTTGCAGGGAGAAGTACAAAGGTACTATGTGTGTATTGTTTAATAAATGAAATTAAAGAGCACCAGTCATGGAAGACATATCCTGCCATATTTTTTTTTTTTTTTTTTGAAAATGCTAATTGCCCAACTAGCTCTGGTTTCCATACTTTGAGTCACTAAGGAAGAGCAAGTAAAATCAGGGCTTTTCATATGCACAAGGTTTTCAGATCAGCACCTCAAAGCATTGATGTTAGAAAAGCGTCACAGGTAACTAGCACTTTAAATTTTGAATAGAGTTAATGCAGGATGAGAAATGCAGAAGTCTTTGTTAATATTTGACATTCTCTCTTCCTTCCTGTGATGGTGACACCAAAACTAGAAATGTAGAGAGTAACAATGTTAAAGACCTCACAGGGGTTCTAACCTTATCCATAAGGGGTTGTCCAACATGCTCAGATTTTACCATCCCTGTATCACCAGAAGTGATGGAAAGTATACTCAGTGGAGACACAAATTACAATAAGACTGACCCAACTATAACCTTTCTCCCCCTTGCTATAAAAAAAAAAAAAAAATTGGTTGGGCTAGCATTGTGCTACTAAATTCTGCAAATGTATTTCCGATATGCAATGCCTGATCTGGTTGTGTTGCGCATACTTTAAATGTGTTATTTTGCAATTCAAATGTTTTACTGTCTGCTAGGATGATTATGGTCTCTAATTATTACTGACTTGATAATTCTTGCCAAAAATATGACATATATTTATACTGGCTAAGTTGTTTATTTTTCCTTTCTAGAGGAATGTATACAAAATAAAATGTAAAAAAACCAAGAACTCTTCCGTGTCTTGTATAGAAAGAGAGAAATTGAGCAGCAGTGGTGATTGTAAGAAATTTAAACAGTTTCAGCAAAGTTGGTCTGAGTGCAGTACAGTACTTTTCCAGGCCAGAGATTAGCCGATGAGAAGTTCGGGTCTGGTAACGACTGGGGTTCACATTATACAAAAGAGGCCATCAACCACCTTGCAAGAGTTGCTGCAGGTTAGGAATATTTGCAGTAATAACATTCTTCAAAGTCAGAAGTCTAGAAAAGGATTTTGTAGTAATCATCTCGATAGCTGTAGAGTACAAGCACTGGCACCCTGTAAGAAACAATACCAAAAAAGTCTCAGCTTGGTAAACTATTTGGTTTTTTTTAACTGCACCCTAGTTAGAGTGTAATGTAATTTGAAACAACAAATAACATGGTATATAGATATGTAATCCAAGAAAGAAAAAACGCAGCTGAAAACACCCTTTGGAATATAACTGCAGCAGGGGCAGCGTTGTCAGCTCAAACAGGAAGTTAGGAGTGTCCTGGATTTCTGGCAGATCGGGATTTCCTTTTTTTTTTTTTTTTTTGGGACTTGTGTTTCTCAAGGCCTCTGATGCCATCCTCATCTAGGATGTAAGGCAAGTAAATTGTTCAGTATGTTTCCACATTTATATTGGAGGGTGGGTGTCTAAAGATTTAACGCAATGGCTGCTTATCCTTTTACTCTGACCCAGGAAACTCTGGGGTGGTCAGATGTGAATCCAAACCACCTCAGAAAATGTGTTTGTGCGACTAGCTTGAGGAGACCATTCTTGTTTAGGCCCATGCAGACACCTTAAGCACCAGCTAACGAGGGGGGAGATATTGCAGATTTCTGATGTTTGTACACAATAGTAATTGCTGGAGTGCCTCAACAACCATTTTCTCTGTTCTGTGTTAAATTGGCAACTTATGTGCTATATCAAGTCATGTGAAAGGGGCTCTATGCTGCTATATCATAAACACACATACGTCTTCTCATTTTAAATTTAAGTATATATTTATTAGCAAACTATTTCTACAGTCTCTATAAAACCAATGTGAATGGCACAACTCAGGCCAATTGAAAAAAACTGATACTTCTGCGAGTGTTGATCTGCTGAGTCCTCCTGCTAGCCTCCACATCATTACAGAAGACAGTGGGCCCAGCAGAAACCAGTGAGAGATGGGAGATCACCACTCCCTGAAACATTTGTGTTCCAGCAGACATTGAAGGCTTGATTTGTCAGGATAGGAGTGGTTTGAGCCATGGGTAACTATTTAGTTTCTTTAATTAGAGGTATAGCTTACAGGAATTACTTCAAGAGAAAAATAAAATGAAGTATGGAAATGTAATTAGGCGACGATGACGGTCAGAAAAGGAAACTGTTAGTGAATGATTTACATTTTCCACCTTTCACCAGGATATCATAAATTCCACTCCAATAAGAACACTGTCATTCATTGCAGCCAGCTTCCCCTTTTATAA